AGCACACTTTCTCCACCTGGTGGTGGTTTTATATCGATTTTAGGAACACCACTGTCCCTCCTCTCTTGTCTTCCACGTCTTTTATTGCTTTTTTAAAGGATACAATGAGAGCTTTAGATTTATACTACCTTCACTGCCTCACCTACCAAGAATTACCTGAAGAAACATTTTGTTATCTACTGGAACAACACCACATTTCTAAGATAATCTACCACATTTTTATTCCTCTGTATTCCATTAATATTCTTTAAGTTCTTTAAGTGTCACTATGTACCATATCCAGGAAAATTGTTGTGCCTAAAACAGAAGAGACCCTTGTTGTGCCTGTGGCAAGAGCTCTCAAAGCTGCCAGCTCTCCGACATTTGCTTTGTGCTCTCTGTTTCAGTGCACAATACAGGCAAGAAAAAACAAGCTAGCATAACTGCAATGTCTTTTAAACAAATAGGTTTAAAGACACAAACATTTTAGGTTTCATGACTCACCCCATAATTTGTAGGGTTGTGCTGGGAAGGCCTGGGTAGAACCTTCCCTTGGGCTTCTTTGTTTCAGCAACAGCCTGTCTGCACATCTTTTCCTGGAGGTCAACTGGGTTCTTTTTCCTAAACAAATGTGTGCAGTCACGTTGTGTCTGTACAATTCTAATATCCTTTAAACTCTCAGAGACTTCATATAGGACAGGAAGATGTAAATAGCTTACGGCATGTTTCTGTCATTCAGGTGGAAGTCGTCTGGATGACATTTGAACAGTATACTACCCCTTTGTTCCCCAAATCCAGCTAGTCCATAAGCCCTGGTGCACATTTACACAGGGGTATACATCATAAAGTGATCACCTAAATAAGAGAATAAGATTGAAGGGGAGCTGTAATTTGATTTTTTTGTTTTTTTTTTATTTCAGCATATATGGGGGCACAGATGTTTAGGTTACGTATGTTGCCCTTGCCCCCCCGCCCTCCTCCCCCACCAAGTCCAAGTTTCAAATATGTCCATCCTTCAGGTGGTGCACATTGCACTCTTTGTGTATGCAAATACTCGTCCCCTCCTCCCCCCTCCCTGTAATTTGATTTTAAACACATACACATACTAAGCACAAGAGGCCTGTGGAACAGAGAGCAAAAAGGCTGTGACAATGACAATGTGAAAGGGAACAGAAATGCCAAGACCAAGAGAATAAAGTAGGAAGTGGCAATATAGAAAAACTCATGGCCCATAAAGACATGTTAAATATAAATTTAATTACAAATAAATGTAAATGATAAAACTCAAGGAAATTGCCAAAATTCATAGTTGAGAGAGAAAATGGAATATCGAAGTATGAAAATTGGATAGAAATGGCTATAGCCTATTAGCTCCTACGTTGAAAATCTTAAATGTGACAGAAAATAAAGTAAATTTGCATCAACTTTGTATATATTACGATAGATGAATGTAAAAGTGTGTTGAACATATAAGTCACCAAAGAATACATACAGAGAGAGCACATTTTGTTTACATAAAGATCAAAAACCTTGCAAAAGTAAACATTTAACGTTTAGGGACAGATGCATATGGAATTATCATCAAACTAAACAAGGGACTACTGTAAGTAATTCAGGACAATGACTGGAGAGCACTGTGGACAAGGCTTCCAAAATTCTGGTTAAGTTCTCTTTTGTAAGTCAAGTATCGGGTATGTGGGTATTCACATTCCTATTCTGAAAACTGTACCTATGCATACGTTACCTTCCGTGTGTGGAACGCATTAAAATAATTAAAAATAATCAGCACCAGTGGTGGGAGCTACGGCGCACCGACCCTCCTTACGGCATCTAAAGTCGGGTCGTGGCCAGCGCGGGGGCGCCCGCCTGTGATCCCGGCCGCCCGGGAGGCCGAGGCCGAGGGTCGCTCGAGCCCGGGAGCTGCAGTGAGCTTCCGTCAGCCACCGCGCCCTAGCCCGGGCTCCGGAGAGAGACCCTGTCTCAAAAAAAAAAA